TACATTAATTTCAATACCCGAGGAAACTGCATCCACTGTCAGAGTGTACGAGAAAGCGCCTATTATCACGATAATCATGAAATGTGTTATAGCTCTTTTTAAAGAATGAATACACACAATTGTCCGACAAGAAACGTTATTAGGCCTACCCAAACCTTTAAAACTCAATGTTGGCCAGCAAAGGGTGGTATATAGAGGCAGCACTGAAAACGCGGAATAACATGCCTGAAAATGATAAACAAAATAACAATAACATTGGAGCTTTTAAACTTAGTAGCATACAAACTTTTCTAATGAAGAAATACAGTGTATATATATATATAATATACTGACATAATGAAATACCGGTAGTTGTTTATTTATTATTTATTTCTTTTTATTTTATTCTTATTTATTTTATCTTACTTATTCTGATTCAATCTGTTATTCTTATTTATTGATATTTACATACTGGTATCTTAATAAATTTATTAAATATTACAGTTACAGACCGATCATAAGCCTAAAAACCATGCTTTCTTTCAGTGATCCTTTTCATATTATTTATTAGAGAAATTTTTAATTTACATATACCTCACATGTATATTTATTGTAATGTTAATATTTGTAAAATTGCATGAAATAAATGACACCGGTACGTGGCTTAGTGATACTTAATTAGACCTATGTTCATTGTTACTAAAAATTGAATAATGAAATAAAATAAAATAAATAATGCATTAGTACTGGACAGTTGACTCTTAATTCCTGCTTTCGTATTTAATCGTCAGGTACACTGGAAATGGCCAGGTACGGTATTTTGTACTGCGCCTTTTCCTTTGGGATAACTGCGCTTTAAAATTCACATGACATTTTCTCTGGATTCCCTCAATTACTGATAATTCCTTGAAATATTTGTAATCAGTCACTTGAAAAGGTTAAATTGCTGAAAGTATTTTGTGCTTTTCGGGAAGCAAAGATTTTTGTTAGTATCCTCATCAACAATAGCCGTGAAATGGACCGCATCGAGGCAGAGGCTACACTTCGTTATTGTCAAAACGAATAATTAAATTTGAATTCTGTCGAAAAAAAGTTAGTTGACCACTGGTTCATCTCTTAATCGTGGTTAATATTTAAATCGTAAACGATTTTTTTGTCTGTTTGTATTTCATTCTCAACGCTGGTCGTAGCAGGCCGCGGTGTTTACTTTTTTTGGGGGGGTACTTGCGTAATCCCCGAGCCCAGCGGTTGAAGGGCTCAGGAGTCTTACGCCAGATAAATTTAATATGTTGTGATTTGCTTGCCATTTTAGGTTCAAAATGAAAAATGTTCAAATGTATTAAAAACAGACATCAGTGAAAAATGCTGTCACGCCCGTCAAAGATGCTGCAATTTTTTTCTTCTAAATTTTTGCTGCGGCAGCTACATAATAAGGGGGTCATCATTGTTTTCAACTTCGAGTCCCTTGAACGAGTACGGCACACAATAAAAAGATGATGCTATTTTGAGATCTTAATTTTATCTCTTTTTAACTTTTTAAAACAAAATACTAGTACGTTGGCCTGTAATGTCCATCCTTTCAAGATAAGATAAGATAATATAAAGATAACTTTATTAGGCCTATTCCACTAAGGGAAACTCTTTGCTCGTCATTACAAAGACAAAGACATCGTTTTATACTCTTCCGAAAATTATGATAATAATGATGGCTGTACCTATAGGTGTTCAGTAAAGTAACTTTTTCTCAGTAAAGTACCATTCATGAGAAAACTTTTATTAATACAAACACAATGTAAGCATACGACCATACAAGTGAAAAAACAGAACTAACTACCCACTATTCAAATTCTGTTTCAGCTTTGCGTCACACTACAGAAATCGTTGATTATCCGCAGGGCCGCTGATAGCGGCCTTGGGTCCCGGGGAAGCGAAGCTGCCCCAAGGGCGGGGTTCTGTGGCCGGCGCAGGCGCCCAGAGGGGGGCCAGGATCAGAGCGAATCTTAAGTGTTTTATGTAATTATGACGTCATATAGACACAAAACATGTGAATGCCGTTCGAAGGGCCCTCCCTTCGAACTCGGCAGTAGTGATTCCATTTTCAGGCATCGATTGCTGCCATTCCTAAAAGTAAGCTTATTTACGAGTACCATCACCAATTTAGTGATGTTTGATGTCCTATTATTTGTAGGGTTACTATAATCGTTTATCGAAACGATATAACTGCAGGATTAGAAAGGTCGGTGACTGTGGGAACCTAATTTGTTTTAGGGTATATATTATAAGGCCTATCATTGGAACCTCTACAGCAATACATCTTTGTCATTGTACAGACAGTCCCCTTAGAAATTGGAAACGAAAGGCGAAACGAACAAATTAATAGGCTATAGTGTTGTTGTTTATGAAAGAAAAACAATTGTTATCAAAGAGATATAGAAAAGAACTAAAAGATAAAACCTTATTGAAATGTAAACAAGCCTCAGAAACCCCGTTTAATTAAATCTTTTGTCAAGTAGGTATCAGTATTTATTTACAATTCTTTTGCTTGTCGTGTTGCACTTCTGTTTCTTTGCAGAATAAAAAAGGTGAAGGATATGGTCAACTTTTTCAGGCATTTTTACAAAAGAATCCTGGCGATAATTATTAGGGGTGTTAGCAACTACACTATATAATAATATTGATAATTCCTGTATACCTGTGTCACCATTTGCAGGTTCGATGTACATTAAATGTAACACGAAAATCTGAGATTTTTTTTTTTTATAGTACTAGCTTATGTATAATAGGGCCTATAATAGTTCAGCTTTCAACTAAAAATTAGATTAATAATTTCCTCACAAGTTATTACGGTAATTGTTTTAACAATATGATTTCCATATTAATTAGTGTTTGCGTACTTGGGCTCTCACCAATGGTATTTCTTCAAGAGGGTGATGGTATCGCAGAAACTTCGTCCCCATATAGGGAAGAGAAGGATTTTCTGGACAGGGAGAAAGGTTCAGTATATACACTTTTTTTGTAAGAACACATTTTATAAGAACACTGAGGCTAAAATTGCTTAAAAAATAAGAACAAAATAAGAACAAATTGAGGATGAGGTAAAATGTCAAATGAGGTTTTTGAAAACCAAAAAGAATCATCATATCTGTACCTTATGTGCAGTAATGTAGGAGTGACTATGTAATCCCCTATAATCAGGTGTACTGTCATTTGGGGCCATTTTTACCAGGCCTTTTTTCAGGGCAATTTTTCCAGGGCATTTTTCAGGCCCATTTTTGTTGTACAATAATAATTTTCTGTTTGAAAATTTTAAAATAAGAACAAAATAAGAACATTTTGAGCCTGAAATTGGCTAAAAAATAGTAACAATGAGCCTGGGCTAAATTTTACTGGTTCTTATAAAACAAAAAGAGTGTATTAAGGTTGAGGGATCCGAATTCACGGAGGCCAGAATCACTGACAACGGAACGATATTCATTTGTAACTTATTTAACTGACACAATGCAATGTAAAAGTATTTAACCTATATAGGACTTAATATATTTATTGTAATGCAATATTTCGTTGTCAATTTAATTTGAAATAAAACATGACAAGGTTAATAACTTTCAGCGAATTATGAAGCGCTGTGATGACATGTTCAAAGCATGCAATGTTCTTACGCTCCACAAGCTTCTGTGCCGAAGGGCTTAAATAACAATGGACCTAAACCATAACGGTGGGATCAGTGACCCAGCCCCGGGGCCCTGTCTATACTTTCACTTTTAATTATTTTTATTGAAAATATTATTGGGCTAACTCTTTGGTGAAATAGTTAATGAATAGTCGTGGTTGTATTGCGTTGCGTGGGCTGGTTGTGTTACAGGATGTTCTCCTGAGAATGGAATGGCTAAACTTTGTAAAAATAATGCATAAGCCTATTGAAAAAAGGTGATCATTATTGTGGTTAAAAACAGTATCGACATTGTAATAATAAACATACAGTACTCCAATTTCAATTCTTACCGTAAGCGCTCGCATAAGCCCTAAGAGCCAGAAAATTTTGTTTTTTAAAAGTTTGAAGACCACACACGATAGAGGAGTGTCATGAAAATGCGTGGAGGGTTTCAATCAGTTCTAATAGATCTAGAAGTCGTCTTAATAAAATATGTAAAGCTGACACTTGTCCCTATTACATTTTTTAAAGTTATTATTTAAAATCACTTTATTCAGCAAAAGGAAAAACATCACAAAAGCCTAGGCCGTGTCTGATTAAATGACAACGCAAGGTAAGTACAGAATTAATTATGTACACATACTATTTTGACAGTAATGATTCTGTGGTACATAATTATTTCTGTAACAGAATGCCTATTTAAAGACAAATAGCAATGTCCCAAATGGCGCCCCGTACATAATAGTTAGAAAGTAACATAGCAATGTCCCAAACGGCGCCCCGTACGAGTACGCATCCACGTCGAATTTTATGACTAGGATTGATCGTTTCCGTGTGTAATTTTGTCAAGATATAAACCTTAACGCGTTTTTGACAGTTTATTTATTTAGTGGCGACGAATTTTTGATTTGGGATAATGACGACTCAGTATATAATAATGTAGTTTAGCTTAAATTTCATTAGTATAAAAAGCAATTAAACTGTTAGACTAAAAGATAAAAAAAAGAGAACAAATTAATATCTCATTATCTGCAAATTTGACAAACTGTTGTCTGAGGGCGCCTAACCCTTTAGAATGGTGACTCAGGACATGGAGGTCTAAAAATAGTTTTATATTTATTTACTATTTTTATACCTCCATGCTCAGAATACATTGCCGTTAACTTGTAGCTTAATGGAATTATGTCATATTAATACAATAATTTAACTGATAGCTTAAAAAATATTTAAAAATAAAAAAAAAAGAACAAATTAATATCTCAACACAGTTTTATTAAATTTGTCCATTAATTTAGTTTACATGCAAAACAAAACCACACACAATACTTACATATATAATATACACTTTAAAAAAAAAGAACCAGTAAAATTTTTTCTAGGCTAAATGTTCTTTATTTCTCTTTTTTGTGCCAATTTTAGGCTCAAAATATTCTTATTTTGTTCATATTTTACACTTTTCAAGAATAAAAATTAGTATCATACAACAGTTATATTATTATACTGTATTATACAGGGTATTATGGTACATACTGCATAAGGAATAGATAAGGTTTGATGGATTTTTTCCTTTTTTTTTTAATAAAACCTCATTTGACATTTTTACCTCAGCCAATATTTGTTCATATTCTTGTTCTAATTTTAGCCTTAGTGGTGTTATAAAAAGTTTATTTAACAATATTTATTTTTTTCATACTCAACCATTTAGTCCAACTCCCATTGTACATTTTTCTTTATGTTATACTGTATTATTTATATAACATTCATATAAATGTAATTATTTATGCATTTATCGTTTATCAATCAATCGATTAAAATATTTATATAGCGCCAACATCCAGAAGTGTTCAGTGGCGCTGTCACACTTGAAAAAAAAGAAAAGTTTTTTGATTGCTCCTGAACATATTCACAATTGGCGAGTTCCGTATTTTAATGGGCAATTTGTTCCATAAATATGGTGCAGCACAGGAAAAAGAACGCTTCCCGAAAGATATTAATTTCCATCTTGGAGTGAACCAATGTTTTTCAGAAGACCAAAGGGATCTTGATGGTTGCAAATACTGAAGGACGTAGCATATATAGTTAAAGGCATGACCATTGAGAGCTTTATAAGTTAACAATAAGATTTTGAATTTTTTTTTTTTTTTTTTTTTATAAGATTTTGATTTTTTATGTTTCACATACTGTGTTAAATTTGATGATCTGGATTTGTATGCATCTTTTGAGTCCTTTACTTCAGCTAACACTGTATGGGTCACCCTCATAATTTAAATTAACAAATAAATAAATAATTGTTTTAGACATGTAGAGTATCATCAAGTTGTTTTATATGATTGGTCTAATCTGCATACTGTAGTTGGACAAAACCATTACAAACTGCTGAGGGCGCTAAACACTTTAGGATGGTAACACACTGAAGTACTCGGAATTCAATTCTTTTAAAACATAATCCAGACTCTCAAGTGCCACCAACTCTCTGTTGAAGTATCAAATGTAATTTCACACCTAAAATCAAAGCAACTGTTTGGATTCATTCTTAAAAATCCATGTCCCATGTCTATCACATGTGACATTCATTAGGTAATATAATTTAATAATCAACAAATTTTAGTTTTATTCTACAGGTAGTTAATAACTAATAATAATACAGTATACAGTATTTGACAAAATATAATGGAAATTACTGTCTACTATAAATAGAATTACATTTTCCCAATTCATGCTGTATCAGTCTATGTATCCCTATTGCATACAGGCTCTAGAGGGCGATAAGCTGTCCAACAGAGAGATCTGACAATTTCTAAAGAACCAGTGGTGTCTGAAGGTTTTGGAGGATTAGCATTTAGAAATGGGATTTTTTTTTTTGGAATTAACTATCAGAAAGATATAAAATAACTGGTCTGTGGACCATTTCTAGAACTAACAGTAGAATTTTGAATATGAGTAACAGATATTAAAATGTTGATTTATTGTAAAAAAGAATATTGGTCTGTGTGACATTCTGCCACGAAATGCCTCACATAGATATATATCATAAAACCTTGACTAGAAGCCCCATGTCCCACTCATCAGTTTGCAAAAGTAATCTCGAAGAAATGCCAATCTCGAAAAAAAGCCCATGAACTTCTAATCAAGATAACATGGGCTTCTTTCGATATAGTACTTACATGTATACTGCCGTCATCTTCGAGGATTATGATAGCATGTCAGTATCAATATTATTTCATTGTACTAGCATGGTTATAATTTAAAAAACATTAAACAGAATTTTGAATTCCATAGTTGAAAAATGTTTCATTTTGTAAAGAAGTATTTCTCTTTAGTCTGCAAAAGTACAGTAATCTCGAAAAGAAGCCCATCTTCAAAAAATGCTCATCTCGAAAGGAAGCCCATGCAAGGGTCCTAAAAAAAAGCCCAGGGCTTCTATTCAAGCTTTTACTGTAGATAAACCTGATAAACTGCTCCAAGAGCAACGACTGTTAAAATGGCACCATATTAATGGAACGATTTGATTTGATTAGAACAGCAATTTGATTCTAAAGAGTAACAACTGGACTTGCACTGCCTTGTACAAATGCTACAGCCTCATTATTAAGCGTAACGTGAATGTTGTCTGGCAAAATATTCGGCATCAGAGAAATAACATCAACCATAGCAACACGCTGTTGGATGGGTTCTGTACCCTGCTTGCGATGAATGTTTTTAATATGTGCATTTAGCGTTGACCTTTGCGAAAATTTCTTTGAACACAAAGAGCAACTAAATGGCTTCTCCTTTGTGTGTACAACTTGGTGGCGCTTGAGGTCAGACGGCGTCTTAAACCGCTGCTGGCACAAGAGACATGGGTACGGACGTTCACCCGTATGTGTTCGTTCATGGTATTCAAGAGCATTTAGCCACGTAAACTTTTTTCCGCAGTGGTTACACACATGCGGCTTTATATTCGCGTGCTTATTCATATGTAATTTCAAAGTATGTTTTTGCGTAAATGTTGCTCCGCATGTTTCACACAAGAATCCCTTCGGGTGTTTTACTCTGGTTCTGGCATTCTGCGAATGACTCACTGACATATGTCGTATAACTCTGGATTTACAAAGAAAGGCTTTATTACAAATGTTACACTTTGGAAGGTTGGTTATGTCAGAATGATGCAATTTAATATGGTTACGCAGCGAATACAACTTTTTGAAGACACGATTACATTCAGTACATCGTAATTCTTTATTCAAGATTTTTATCCTCTCTTGAAATTTTCTCTTTCGTTTTTCTTGTACTTCCTTCTTTTGGCTCTCTATGGCTTCAACAATCTCTTCCTTGCTTATCATACCAAACTCGACTTTTGGTTCCACAACAGAACAGCATTTATTCAATAATGACATTGATTCCTTTGAAACAAATTCCTTGCAAGTGCTTCCATTCTTAAGGAGGGCAGAATGAGCGGTTTCTATGTGACGCGACAATTTCTCATATTTTGAGAAGTACATCTGACACTCTTTGCAACCAAACATTGTCCTTGGTGAATTCTGACCATCTGAACTTGCGTCAGATGGACACACTCTGACCTTTGATTTCTTTTCTGCCTTAGATGAATATTTTTTGCCCTTCTTTGGATTCTTTTCTACAGTCTTGCCCCTTTGATCATTCAATATTACTAAATGATGTTTGATCCGTCCGCTATTTCCAATCTTACTAATGTTCCTTGCAGTCTTTTGGTCTGTATCTCTTGAACGTCTATCAGAAAATTTTCTTGTAACACATACTAGTTTTGGCTTAGATGCACACATAGCATTATCATTAAGTGAAATCATACCCTTCAATCTGGTTTGGCTTGGGGAGTTTCCATCTCTTGCACAGTCTGATTTCTGCTTCTGAATTTTATTGTCACACATTAGAACTAGGTCACTCCTTTGCTTCTGTGAGGGTGTTATTTCAGTAGGGGTTTCATCAATTTTTTGAAAACAACCTGAATCAGAATCTGGATCAAATATGTCTGTTTTCTCCAAATCAGTCTGGGGTATCTCCTTACTTGTATATTTGTGATCCGTGGCTGCGAAGACGCATGATTTCTCTTTCCTTTTTACTTCCTATAAAAATAAATTTGATTATAAATATGGTAAATGGTAATCATTAGCACATAGATAATACAGTTCTCAAATACATAGGAACATTATGTTATAAATCGTATCAAACATCAACGAAAGTTCTTTATTTTGTTTGAAAAAAGGGGTCTCCGGTGGTAATAGGACCCTAGCTATTTCGGCGAGCATCATCCCTGTCTCTTATACACATCTAGATGTGTATAAGAGACAGGTCTGAAGGTTTTGGAGGATTAGCATTTAGAAATGGGATTTTTTTTTTTGGAATTAACTATCAGAAAGATATAAAATAACTGGTCTGTGGACCATTTCTAGAACTAACAGTAGAATTTTGAATATGAGTAACAGAAATTTACCTTGGTCATTTTTGATGTACATAAAGCATCTTTATCTGCTCGATCTTTAGGAAGTGTAGGTCTGTATAAAAAGTAAACAACAAAGTGCAAAAAATATATGAAGTAATAGAATATTATCAATATTATTTTTGCCATGTTGCCACAGTCACCACCGATAAGCTTGTTGTTATAGTTATCATCATCATTATTAATATACATTTTTTTTTATTACAGTAGAAATTACAAGTATAAAATAAATGATGGCACAAAGACCTCATCCCTGCCTGAGCCTATGTCGGGTTGAGCTAGGTAAGTTCTTTCAATGCTTGAGAATTTCTTTTAAAATAATATTTTTTGTATAATAATATACAAAATCATAACACAAAAAAGCAAACATTAGTTTTTGAATTGTACTCTCCAATAAATACAATTTTAAGTTGAAAAAATAAAGGATTTTTTTTTTTTGCATACTGGCGGCTTTAAGCAAACAAATGCTTTATTGTACAGATTTTTTTACTGCACTTCAAAAAAGTATGTCTAAGGCCATGTAAAATAAAATAATTGGTTAGCATCCCCTCCCTACCATCAAAAAGGCCCCCGATTTTTATTTTTTTACAAAATACTCCCAAACTCCATTTACTATAGGTTTGTTTACCACCCGTCATGCTAGGCAGACCAATTGCAGTTCTATGCTCTACTGTTGTTCTATACTGTAGCCACATCTATGATGCCTATTGTGTTTGAGTGAATTGTGTGTGATTATATAGAGATAACTGCACTGTAACTGTTATTCATAGGTCAAGTTTCTGCTTGCTATAGATGAATTACATAACTTCTTGTACGCAATTTTGGTCTCTGTTGTTTTCTTTTTCTTTATTTTGCTGTTTTTCCCTCCCTCCCTACCATGAAAATTGATAACATAAGGATGCCAACCAATTTAAAAAAAAAAATTACATGGCCTAATGGTACAACAAATTATTATTCTGTGCAAGGTTTCCATGGGAATTCTCAAGCCTTCCAAATGATTTCTCAGGTGTTTGGTGGGACCCAACAGTTAGGCCTATCAAAATGTTTAAAATTACCTTGCATACAACTCATGATGGTCTGCTAGAAGTTGTCTAATAAATTCCTCATCTGAGTTTTGACCTGATTTTAATTTCGCCTCTTGAAATAGGTTGAAAGTTTTTGCTGAGCCTAGGCTGATTGTGAATTCCATGTTAAGTAGAGGCTTTCTAACTGTAGTAATGCCTGGGGAGGTAGACATTTGAACATGTCAATTAATTGATAGTAAAACACAGTTAATAAAATAATTAATTTTCTAAAAACAATTATAGTATAAAGAAATATTATCACAAGAATTTAAGTAAAGGGAAAACCAGGAAACAGAAGAGTGATGAAATGGTACATGAAACATGTTGCTTGGCAGGCTAAAAGAAAAAATAAAGAATGATGAAAATTGGGAAGAAACTTAATATTAAGCTGATTTTCAATTTAACCTCTAAAATAAGCATCCATTTACACACAAACTATTTACAGTATTTTCTCTCTTTTATTTTTTAAAACAACTAAACATTATTATCTGTTTTTCTTTTTGCAATTTTGCTAGTCAATTTAAAAATCTTTTAGATTAATCTTATTGTATGTCTACTTTTAAGAGAAAAAATAATATGTTTTATTTGTTTTTCTTAATTTTGTTTGTTTATACTTATTTCAAATGTGTGTTTTATGTTTTCTTTTTGTGAATAGGTGTTTGAATGATAGGTGACATCTATAGTTGGCCGTGGCTATTGGTAGTTTTAAACAAGTTGCTCATTGTGATTACATGTTATTAGTATTATTGATAATTCCCAATGTAATGAAAATTTAAGTAGTAACTATCAAATTTTACATAATTATATATTTATTGTTCATAAAAACATTTTACTGTTACTATTATTATTAAATATTACTATTAATGTTATTATTAACATTAATTATTATTAGAGAATTATGGTGTTGCAACAAATGAGCAAAGAATTAAAGTCAATTTCTGATAAAAAAGTATACAAAAAGGTTAAGAAATATAATAAGCATGTGTCTAATCGTCTGGTTCAGATTTTTTCAGCTACCTATTCTCTCCACAACTTTCGGTTTCATCTCCACTTGCTTCTCCAAATTAGCTACTGAAGCTTCTAGCAACTTCACCTCAGCCGCCAACTTTTCATTAAAAGAAAATTGCATCTCACAATCTCTGCAAGAAGCCAGCTGAACCTCCTGATATCTTTGTTTAACAGCCTGCTTGGTGTTTGTGTTGTGTACAGGTACTGGGATGGCGAACCTTTCAGAAAGAAATGCATCCAACTTGGTTTTGCAACTCCTTATTAATTTCTGTCGCGTTCTTGAGTAGGGCAATCTTCGATCGCAATGTGCTTTCCTTGATACTGCTCACATCAATATCATTTTGCTGTAGGATCTTGAGTAACCAAGCGATGTGTGTAGAAATTGGTTGCTTCAGTTTCAGCACCACATTTCTCATCTCCAGAACAGCACCATTATTTATGTGTTGACCATTGAGTCTACAAACGCCATCTTTTTCAAGACTGGACAATTTGATCCCTAGTGCATTTTAATACACACCGACATAATCCGGGTCTTCTTCCAAGCTCCTAAAAATTGTGAATCGTTTTATACAATTTAAGGTACAAAATTGAAGAAACAAATGCAATGGTCATTCAATAATTGCTGAAACTTTTTTTTATCAGTGTACTGTTTTTTATATCTTAAAAAACGTTGAAACATTTGTGGTAATCAAAAAACTTCTTTCGAATTGAATCACGCACTTGGCAAACCCATACCTTTGTTCAGAATTTATTTCCAGCGGTTATCTGGAAGTAATTTGGTCAAATATTGTGATATACTTCTGCGAAAAACAAATTAATACATTGGGTGTTGCTATCTCCTCCTGGGCACTATTTTCTATTGCGATGTCTGTATCACCAATCTACAGCGCCATCTATCTGTTTTAAAGTACGACAGTGAGTCCAAAGCTTTTCAAAGTTTGAATCAGTTCTCTGTTCTGTTGGCAATTTGTCACACTGCTTTTGACATTTATGTTGTTGTAAAAATAACATGTACTACAAATACATGGCTAGACTGGGCCCAGCTATGCCTTAGGTCCCAGCCTAGGGTAATTGAAGGAGGACCAGACTGCAAAGTAAGGCTTTGACCTAATAATCTTAATATACCGGTACTGTATGAACAATGTATTATGCATACAATTCTGCGCACATAGGCTAGGCCTATCTATTTTCCTAGTGATTTTCTTTCCTCGCATAAGTTTGAGCTGATTTTTAAGGTATCCATATCCACGCAATCATAAAACTTTACAGTGTATTGATGCATGCTGTCTGTAATATTTTTTAATTGCGTGGACGGACGATATCTAAAAAATCAGCTCAAATTTGCGCGGAAAATTACTAGGAAAATAGGTGCACGAATCGTAGATGCTGCATATTGCATTGGTTATATATTAAGATTTTGTCAAAGCATAATTTTTGGCAAAATCTGCACGGAAATCGGCCCTTATTTTCCGAAATGCGCTGACGGATTTCTAGGCCTAGGTCAAATTTTTGCGTGGAGGATTTGTGCGCTTAACCTACCTAGGCCCTTAGTAGGCATAGCCGGGAACCAGTCAACTCACCCCCTATCAAACTTGCCCCTTTCAATCTCGCCCCCCCCCCAACAAAGTCGCCCC